TGGGCAATGGAACGTCAGGATTAAAACTAGGTTCAAAAAAGGGGAGGATCAAAGTGGCTGGCTAAAATTGGTTTTCAGTTTGTTGTCGTCAAGCACATAGATGCCAACAAACACCATCTAAACATTCCATTCTATCCTCGAGGCAAAATTTGATTCCCTTGTGCACACTTTAGGTGATTAACAATTATTGTCTTAGGGAGAGCGTCAACACGCGACTTGAAATCTACTGCAGGTATTTTGTTCATGTTTGGTTCGAGTTATTGCAAGGCATTCCCACCAATATTCCACAGTTAAAACATTAGAAAACTAGGAAGCATATAAAGTACATCATCTAAATTTCAAACTTGAACAGGACTTGTCAAAAATCTAAGCTAATAGCACTTCAATCTAAATTCAATCACATGATATCCTCAATTCACAATCAATATTTGTAACCAACCAAACCCATAGATGATGAGAAAAACCGGGTGTGCTACCAAAATTGGGAGAAAATGTCAAAACGTGCTTTTAAGTATTATTACAATTTATTCTGAGATTGTGACAACTGAACGTGTGAGGACCGTCGATGAGGTTCTAGATTCTTCAATTGGAAACTACATTTGAACTTGGCCATCAGTGGAAAACATGCAGAATACTTTTCCTCTTTTCTCTCACTCTCTTGAAAACCTCTCCCGAGAAAACCATAATGGCCTCTCTTCAATTCTTCTTCATCTTCTTTTGTTTCTGGTTTTCTTCGGTGGTTTAGACCAAGAATTTGGTGTCATGTGATCTTTGTAATTGCCATAAACTGGTGTAAAAGAACGACGAGTATCCTCTGTGTCTCGGTGGATGGTAAACTTATGTATTGTTTGGGTTTTCTTCAAAATAGGCCTGTATGGCTTATGAGTTGTAATATTGTCAACATCAGTTCTACTTTCCTCGCCGTTACGGCTTGATTATGTTTTAAAGAGCATTATCCACTTTTGTGGATGCTCAAAGTGGGATTAGGCATTGGAAATGGTTACCGAAACTCTGGACTCTGGCCGGAAAAACTCTTTATTCATTTTTACTTTCTTGAACTTGTCTTTTAAGATTTGACGTTTATTTTAAGTTCTTGATGATTCTGCTAATTCCTGGGTTTAACAATCCATGAAGACATAAAAATGCGTAACGCTAAATTCTTTTCTGCATTTTCCAAGTGATAACTCAGACATACAAAGTTTTCATCTTTACAGAGGTATTATGAACCTCATAAAAGCTGCATTCGTACAGTCTAAAATTTCTTGGAGAGCAGTACCAACAAAATTTCGAACCCAATTAAATTATATCACAAAAATAATGCTATCCTGAGTGCACATGGAATAATTTCCCTCAATTTCGTAAAATGAAAATTGCAGAAAAAGTTAAGAGAAGGAAGAAATAAAATTGCAGTGGTTATCACCAGAATAAAAATTCAGAACTTTGAGAGCTCACAATGTCTTAAGAATTCAATAGAATTTTCTGTATTTTTCTTCTTCTTTTTTTTTTTTTACAAGTACCTTTTGATGGGATCTGATCAACAGACTTGTTGTTCTGTTGTTTCTTTGCTTTCTTCTTTGATTTTCCAGAACACAACAAACAACCCATGTTGCTTATTATCTTTTACTCTCTATCGTGTGTGTTTTGAATTTCACAGAGCAGTGAAACTGTAGAAGAAAGAGTGAAGGGAACACGATTTCACACAGGAGAGAGTGAAGCGAAATTCGGACAGCGCCGGGTTCATTTGGTATGTTCCTCTTTGTTCGATGGTAAATTTGCATGATTGCCCCCCCGAGTTCTGTTTTATTACGACAAAGTCCTGAACGTCTTTAGATTCTTGGAATTACTTCTGTCTGATTGACACTCGTAATGTCAACCCTTGTGTACGTATAGCGAAACCCTTAAAAAAATCAACCAATTGATTTAGAGAATGTCTTTTAACTATTAAATTCTATTGGTGAAATGAAAATTTTCTTCAGACAAATTTTTTTTTTTAATTATAATCAATCGTGCAAAATGATTGTAGTGCCTTTCAATTAAATTGTGATCGCATGCAAAGTCACCAATTTTGATATGAATGATTATATGTATCACAATTTGTACGAAAATGAATACACGGAGTGTTTAAATGAACCATAAATTCGAGTCAACTGTGTAGAGAATAATGAGAACGTTTAAGTATTTCGACATCCATGTAAAATGAAAGAAGTTGTTTAAATGGAATATAAATTCTCATCAACTTCACCAGTTCGACAAGAATATTTGAGTTCGCAATTTGTGCAAAAAAGAAGATGAAGAATATGAGAACTTTTTTGGGGAGAAGGATATATTAGTCAAATAAAAATAACATTTGAAATTATTAATTAATAAACTGAAGGTAATATTATTCACGCCCACATTTCTTTTAACTGCACCGTTTTTAATTGCAATTCGTGTTTTCAATTTTTGCTCATTTTTACATTTATGTCTACAATTTTTTTGTCGCATTTTTATTTTTAAAAACTAATTAATTAGCACATCTTGTCTTTAATAACGACTTCTATCTAAAATATTGTGTTAGTATGAAAGAAATATTTAATAATACTTTTATATATTTTATTCATCTTGATTAATTAAAAATATGATGGATATATAAGTCTTTTTACTCCTTCATAACGAAATTTTTGGCCAGTAAAAATATGGCAAAAAAGTTTGAAATATAAGTGTAACAATGAGCAAACAATGTTGTAATTGAATATGGTACAACTAATAAAATTTATGGTATAGATATAATCACCTTAAATTCAAAATTAATGGCCATAATTTTTTTTCTCACCTTGAAAAGTAAAGGGAGAAATTTCCTCATTTATTTACTTGTGCAGATGTGTAGATATGTAGAAAGTCGGTAATTTATGAATATACATTAGTTATTGCACAGAAGTTGATATCTGCTGATCGAAAAATTGAGAAATTTTTCATAATTTTTTTTTTCCAAACATGTCCGACTAAATTATTTTTTTTTTACTTTTTAAATAAAAAATTACTTGAAATAATTAGTGGTGTAAGCAAATTGATTTGGTTGATTGTTGATAGATATTTAATTAACAAAATCATTTTACATATTTGAGAAAAATTCAAACCTAAATTAAATCGTTGAAAATGATTTGAGATTTTCACAAACCTAAATTTAATAGTATGATCCAGTTAAAAACCAATGTTTGAACTTATATTTTTTTCTTTTTATTCACTTTATTATGACTAGTTCAATGATTATGAAATATTTTTGTAAGATATAAAATTATAAATTTAAGGAAAAATTGCAGCATGGTCCCATGCAGACTTTACCACAACCTTCAATTTGTGTCATCACAGGTCCCAATCCTTGTAGATGCAGTCCAAAATGATAAAAAATATTGGTTCCACCGACACTTAACCTTAAAAATGGGGAAAAAATGGAGCAAATTTTGACCAATTTAAACAAGGGCATTATTCGTCCAATTTTACTTCCCCCTTATTCACCGTACTAATCAATCACTATTCATTTCCCTCGTTTTTCAAGTCTTATATATTCTTCTCTCTTTTCCATTTATCTTAGATTATTTTCAGTATAAATATGGAAAGCAATATTTGTATATATGGTGAGCCTTTGTAGATGAAGACCTCGTGGACGAACTTGAATCCAGGAAAAATATTTCTTAGTTGCCTAGGGCGTCAAAATGTCGATGGATGTAATTTCTTTGACTAGTACAACCCTCTAATGTGCAAGAGATCAAACGAGATAGTCTATGGATTTCTACATGTTAGAAGATATATTGAAGCTGAATTAAACACCCTCCATGCAAGAACCCGTGGTTCATGAAATGCTTGGATATTAGGATTTATATATAGAGTTTTTATTAAATGGGTCTGTGCATACATCCATGTTAGGTTTGAGCTCATATGCTGTGTTTATATTTTGGAAGGTGGGTTTATGAGTTAGAAATCGAGTGGTACTGTAACTTATTTTTCATTAAATAAGGCATGTTATCATTCAACAGTGTTGCCATAATTCTCATTTATCACAGTTTTCCCTCCCCTGTGAGAAAATGCTTCAAAAGAAAGGAAAAAGTTTGTTCGAAACCTTTTGTAGATGGTGCATTGTAGGTCTCAAACGTTTTCAATTAGACATAGATAGAGACCCAAACATTTTATTATGTTATAGCATAGATCCCAAACCTTTGCATATGAATTGATTGCAAGTCCCAAACATTTTAAATGAGTTACATAGTAGGTCCCAAACCTTTTAAGGAGTTGAAGCTTTTATCCCAATCTTTTTACTTGAGTTAGAATATCTATATAATTGCTTAGGTGCCAATTTCAAATCTGATTTACTTTCAAAGCACCCATAACACAATGATCCAACAACAGTTACTAATTAAAGACACCAAGAGCATTTTTTATTATAATATTCACATTTTACATCATAATTCGTTTGTTCATCATACAAAAGCAATTCCAATTTCTTTCAGCCAAAGGTAATCACACAAAAAAATTAATTATACAATAAGTTTGTTCAAGAGGATATCATACAAAAATCTATGTTTTTTATTGTCCATTTTTCTTCTTCTTTGCCCGTGCCTTGGTGGAAGTAGAAGTCTTTCTCTTACCCTTGCCTTGCGATAAAGTTGGTGTTGTATATTTCCCTTGCCCTATGATTAAGTTGGTTGTCTATCCTACTGTGTATCTGCTTCAGAACATGTTCTCTTGTTATGACCTGTCCCACCACATCTTTTATATGTCATCTTCATTCCAGTCATTGCCATTTTGGAGCTTGCAGATGGCTCTATTTGCAACAT